TGACTCCAGTGCAGAGCTGTGACTTACCACAAGTAGTTTCTAAGCTAGATCTTTCTATTGAACTCCCCCTATGTAGCACTAACCTGAATCAGTTCCCATTTGAACCATATTTTCTCTGCTAATCACCTACTGCTTACTGAATGCAGCCACTGGCATGCATAACACACATACAGCACAGAGCTCACTGTGAGGATGTTCTTGGATTTACAGAACAGGAAGAAAGAGGGTTATATGGAGTCAGAGATGGGTGTTTTAAAGTAGTGTCCATTACCATTTGTAGTACCTTTCCCACAGCCATGATGCTTTGACTAAACTATAGAGCACATGTCTAAATGAGAGCTGACTGGGGTTGATACTGCATAAAGGGAACAGATCTCCTGACTTCTTTAATTGGAAATAAACTACCACACTGTGATATGCACCTTTGCACTGGAGTCATTTTAATAAAACAAATGAATGCTTGCCCCACTTCTAAATTCAGTGTATAACAACCTTAATCTTTAGCCTGGTGTGAAAAGGCTAATCCCTTCTGTTCCTCTCCCAGCCTTAAGCAGATTATGTCTTTTGTTTTCCAAATTAAATGTTAGCATTCTGTATTGGAAAAAAAAGTCAACCTCCTAAGAATCAAAGGGCGTACATGAGGTTCTTACCCTGTCATCTAGTACCTAGGAACAACAGAGCAGGTAAGGTGATTCAGTGGGCAGAGACACCCAAAGTAAGCACCTAAGACATTACATAGCACCTTAAAGAATGGATGAATGTATTCAAAATTAGTTTGGAAACATGAGAGTTTTCTTGCATTTCTAGGACAAAAAAAGGTATTAGAAATGTAATTTAGAATAATGGTCAGAACTTATAACAGACAGCATACTAACCATTTGTACCAGAGAACAGAAATTGGTGAGGATTATGTTGTCTACAAAGCTTCCTTAACTTTGAGGCCTTGATTAATCATTTTTTTAAAAGTTTGCCCAAACTTGGAAACAACTCAAATTTCCAACAACAGTAGAATTAACAAATAAATTATAGTATTTGATTCAGTGAAATATGACTGAAATGAGATATAAATAATCTAAAACTACATATAAAAAGAATGAATCATGCAACAATGTAGAATGGCAAACAACTCTAAAATGCTTGTTGTATGATTCTGTTATACAAAGTTCAAAAGCTAGCAAGAGTAAATTAAAGTGTTAGAAATCAGGAAAGCAGCTACTGTTGAGTATAGATTAGGATAAGGGACAAGTTGGATCTGAGGGGTACTTTTTGTGTTGTTTCTTAACCTAGATGGTAGGATGGATATAGTCACTGGTGATGACTTATTGCAGAACACTTAAAATGTATGTCTGTCTTTAAAGAAAGACTTAGATTGAAGGATCGGGCTTGCAAAAGCTAAGAAGGTCCTCAGAATTCCTGTCTAGCATGTTAGGTCCATTTCTAGAGTCAAGGAAACTGAGTCAGTGACACATCAGTGACAAAAGCAGGATGGGGTGAAGAGTGTGTTTAGTGTGGGAATCGCCTAGTACCAGGTCATGGGAGCAAGCTGGAAAAACTGAGACTGCTGACTTTCAGGATTGATCATCCTAGAAGTTAGCCTGGATAAAATATGCAGATGAAATCTAATCAGAAAGGATGAGGGGTTAACATTGAGGACTGGTATAGTGAGAGCTCAAATCTGTCACATTTAATTCTCTGGAGGCCACACTACCTCTTCTCCTATGGTATGCCTTTCATAATGTGGGTAGTGGAATTAGCCCAGGCCCTAGGACCCTGGTCCTGGTTTTCTTTCTGGGGAGAGTGGTTCTAGATTCTCAACAGAATGAACAGCTAGGCCCTTAGATTACAATCTCAGCTGTTGGCCTCTGTGGAAGAAGGTTAGCTTAATGGAAGAAGGTAATGAAGAGAGGCTTTTGGAAAGTGCAGGTCTAAACAGGATCAGTGTTTATGTAGACAGTAGCCCTAGGGAGAAGGGGATTAAGGAGCTTTCTTGGAGTTCATACTGTAGTAGGACAAAGCACAGTAGGAATCTAAATAAGGTAATGGAAGGAACATAAAGATGGGTGAGGCTGGAGATTCAGAAGTGAAGAAGCCAAATCAGATAGTCACTGAAAAAGCAGATAAAAGATAGGTTCGCTATAAACCTGCTCTTAGATGTGACTTTTATACTTTTCAACCATAGTCACAGCAAGAGAGTTGATAATGTGTGAAACCTAAGATGATTGCCTTTGGGCTAGGTATGCAAGGCTTACTTTTTATTAACTGAACTTCAAATATTTGAAACCATTTGCTACAATAACACCATGGAAAGCTGCTGTGGGCCCTCATTGGTATAACAACCCCAACTGAGGTGGTCAATGAGGAGGGCCATGCCTGTCCTCGATCAAGATTCTGCTTGCAATGTAAAGTGGACCCAGAGAGATGAAAACCAAATCTAACCCAGCCTAGTATCTACCTACCAATAAACCAGCAGGAGATGTACTTAATGTCAGGACAAAGGCATGTACTATGTGATCAGGATTAACATTTAGCATAGCTCCTAGGGATGAGTGGTTGTCATTTTGTTTCCTTCTAAAGGTTACTCACCCCACCACTGATCCCTTGCTGGACAATAAGGTGAAGAATGAGTTCAGAAATCATTATTGAAACACAACAACAACAGCACTATCTATGAACATGTCTTTGGCACAGGGGATCTGGGACAGTAGAAAGTGCATGGCTGTGACCAGATTCCAGATATGTCTCAGAAAGTACTAAAGGAAATTTATTTTATAAACCTATAAAATGATTCCTGATAGCATTTTAAATAGGTAAAACTTTAATTAGGGATAGTACAAGCAAATAAAATCTACTCCTGCCTGTACCTATGCTGATTCCTATCCTAGTATTTCATTTGCAAAACAGGTGGAGCCCTGTCTGGCAGAACTTTCTGACCTCACCCAAAAGGTATGACTTATAGCGTGCTGATCTCAAGTGTTTTGATGTGATGCCTAGAGAAGTAGGAAAGTTTCAATAAAGGAATAGTATAGAGCATCTTCAGCTAGAGGTAGGTTCTCACTTCTAAGCCAGGCTGAGCTTACCAGACGGCCAGGACAAACAGCTCTTCCCAGGTTTTCTGTACCTAATGAAGCTTAGACAAATCAACATCATCTGAGACCCTTAATCATGGTAGAGTAGGAGCTGAGATGACCTCTGTCAGCCCTGGCTCTCCTGTTCCTATTCACCTAAGACGTGGTATATTGTCACCTTGCGTCAATTGCTCTTGCCTCATCTGTTTCCTCTATAGACGGGGGATAGTTTCACACCCATCACAGACATTCCACAAATCAAGATGATTTTGAACTTGCCAGATTTCTCTTTCCTGTGGGCATATGACTAAGGGCTTACTAAACTTCCCCACACTCAGTTTCCTCACGTATTAAAATGGGATGATAAATAATCAGTATCTCATGGGACCATGGAGATAATAAAATGAAAGTCAAGTGATAAAAGTACTCAGCCAGTGCCTGGACCATAACAAGTGCTCTATGCCTGGTAGGCATTTTTCTAAACCCATAGGAAGGCTTCACTTGATTTAAAGTAGATGATCCTGAGGCATTAAGTGGAGCAGGTTAGATTGAGGATGTGTAGCATGGGAGAGTATTAGGAAGCTAGGCAAAGCAAGTAAAAGGTCTTAAAGAATGCTATACTGCCTATTTTGCTGGATCCACTAGTGGATTAAGATCCATTTCTGAACCAGAATCTTCAATATAAGGGCAGTGCTTGGTGATACCTAGGTACCCACAATCTCTTGACTCATTAAAATTTCTATTTCTGAGTGTTTCTACAAGCAGTAATAGCAGATGTAGAAAGCTTTCAAAAAGTTGTCCATTGAGTAATATAAATACATATACATATATATGTAGATGTATATATTGCAGATGGAAGACACCCTCTGATCGGGAGGAATGGACGTCTGGTCCTTCAAGGGTTCTTCAGGCAACACCTGAGGCAACATGACCTAAGATGGGCAGCTTTGCCTCCTGGATAGTCTTTCCTTGATTTAAAAAATAAAAAATAAATAAATAAATAAATAAATAATAAAATTTAAAGGGAAGTTAAAGCCATGTGTTTCTGAGAATTTACACGTAGTTCATCAAATCTATTGTTTTCTGAGAAATGTTTGAAGTTTGACGTCTAATAAGACTAATGAGACTTTTTTCAAATGTCTTAAAAAAATCTTTTTTCTTAGAAGGACATGAGAGGCTTTGAAAGTTGGTCCACAGGCAAAAATGATGATATTAATAATTGCTCAAAACTCTCAACCCCTGCAGGTTTAAATTTTACTTAATACACTAAACCCAAGAGACTTGAATTATTACTGGAGTTTATTGTCTCTTGTTATGGGAATTTACAGAAGAAAGAACAAAACCTCATGGAGGGGTCACTTCAGTTCATTATGAGGCTTGCTTAATAGCCATGTCCAAATCCCAGGAGACTTCCAGAACCTTCTTGGCCTGAACCTATGCAGGAACGTCCACCCCAGCCTTCCTTCTCTGTTTGGCACTATCCATAGTGTTGGAATGGACTCTATTCAGAATACTGATTTTTCAACCTAGATTTTATTTTGGTAGATCAGAGACAGAGGCCTCCTTGAATGGTTCTCTTGCAGGCCATACAATCTGTGTTACCTAAACGGGTGATATGTTATTAGACAACTAGACAGTTATGGAGCAGAAGAAGGAAAACAAGTTTGGGAGTACAGAAAACCAACAGTTTTGACGTCTCTAAAACTCTCTACATTGTCATCTGATGACCTCTGGTGGTGGAACATTTCCCAGCCTGTGTGAATAGACGCTTCTGAGCCAAGCCATCCCATGTTACATTTTCCTACATTCCCTTCCTCCTGTTTTGTCACATTAAGCAAGGAACAAGGATCAGTTGTAAGCACTCAGAAAAAAAGTGGTACATGTGTCTGATCAGGCTATAATTCCACAAAAGTTGTCTGGTACCTTCTCTTCCAGGGAGCCTCTGATACATTGCCTGCAGCAAGAAAACAGAGCAACATGAAGGACAACGTGGCATCCACCATTGCCTTCATCCTGCTACTTTGCCTCAACATCAGTTTTCTGAATGGTAAGTAAGAGACAACTCTTCTTGCTTGCTTTGCCTGGTGCCTATGGAGTCCTGGAGAGGCCATCCGGATATTCTTGCCATGCACTGATGGGAAGTGAAAATGTTCATGTCACGTGCTGCTCCTAAGTTATTTACAACATTTCTGCATTAAAATGTATGCAAAATCTTGTCCCTGTGCTGCCTGTCTTCCATCCTCATTTTGAGGGTGTACTGCAGAAGCACAGGGAATGATGGGACCTGCATTCCAGGTGCTGCCAGTTGCTAGCTGTGTGATTTGAATCACTTGCCTATCTCTCTGACTTTTCAAATTTTCAAAGTGAAGTTAGTGATATTTCATCGACATGTATGTGAAGAAAAAACTTTGAGAAATCATAAGAGATTGCCATTACATGGTAGAAAACAGGTATAACCATCTTTATTATTTATACTAAAAGGAGAAATAAAATCCATAGCTAAATTAAAACATGTATGATTATCTACATAGATTTCTATGTGTCTACTTCTATGTATCTCTGGCTATGTATCCTTCTGTATATACCAACTTTTTATAGTGTCAGATTGTAAATGCTTCTCTGTATGGATATATGTGTATATGTGGCTATACCAGTATGTGACCTCAATGTATTTCCATATGTGTATATTGTTGTGTGTGTATGCCAGGGTATATTGCCATAGTGATGGCTTCTACATATTTCTCTCTGGGTATATCTTTGTATGAATTTTATGTATTGTATATGTATATACTTATGATGTGGATCTGTGTGGGCATGTGTCTACATTTGTGGTATCTGTCTGTCCATTGAGATAGTCCTTGATGTTTAACTGGTTCTTCCTAAGTGCATGAAAGGAATACTAGACTAATTGTAATTTTACAATCTTACTCTCCTTTCTTGAATTTCTTAAAAGTGCTAATAATATCCAGTAAAATATAGAACAAATTCAGAGAGAGAGAGACAGACAGACAGACAGATAGATAATAATCTGCAAGAGAAACTCTAAGTACTCAAATAACCAACAATGGCCCTGATTGGCTTCAAGTAGGCTCATTATTGAACCACAGAATCTTGAGGTTTTTTAAAATAAACATTTCTTTCTACATCAGACATTCCTCCTCACCCATGACAAAAACAAACAAGCAAAAGAAACCTTGAATTTTTTCAATGACTCCCAATAACATTATCCTGGGGAAATCTTCCCCAGACGATGAGCAATCCTGCAAACATTGGCAGATCTGCATGAGACTGACATAAACTGTTTTCAGCAATGCTCATGAGCTGAAGTGAAACTCTTCTCCCACTGACATGGACAGCCTGGTTTCCAAGACCCCATTTTGTACACTATGCCACACCATCCATTAAATTCTTCCTCCTGAACAGATTATATACAGACCCCTCTTCCCATCCATGATCCCCTTAACATGGTCTCCCACAGACATGCTCAGCCTGGACCTGGTGGTCAGCTAGAAGTGCCAGGCTGAAAGCATGCATGAAAGAAGAAATAAGTGTGAAAAATATGCAGAGTTTCTGATGCCAACCTCTGAGAGCTTCTGTCTCCACTCCTGAATTTAGCACTGGAGCCTCAAACAGGGCAAGAAGGAGGAGCAACTGGAGATGTATAGTCAGCTGTGGTTGGCTTCCCCACAGCAGCATCAGGGTAAAATCCCAAGGTGACTCTCTTCCTCTTTGGACCTATCAGTCAAGCAAGAGAAATGAGAATCAGCTTGCCAAGAGTTTTAGGGATTAGGCAAGTGAAAAGTTCTATTCCCTTGGCCTTTTCCACACCCCTCCCTGCAGATCTAGCCTGACAGTAAGGACAGCTCTTATCTAATCATAGTAGCTCCGTTTATCTAATTATTGTAGCTCCCACTCCTGCTGCTTCATAAAGATTAGTACAACTACAAGGGAGTTTTGGGGTATCTCAGAAAGAGGAGGGGGATACAAAAAGACTGAAACCAAGATTCAGAAATAGCAAGATGAACAACTGAGAGACAGTAAAACTGAACTAACTTGAGAGTAGAAAAAAATTGTGGTGTTCTCAACCACTAATGGGACATCCATATTTACACTCCTTCCCTCCGAGGCTTAGGGGCCATGATGTGAGAAAGACTGTAAGAGTCAGAAGTCAAGAGGACTGGAATGAAACAGGATCTTCTGGGCATGACAGGACCACAACGAACTCACAGCAGCTGTAGCTTCCTGAAGAAGACCTCCACAAGATCAAGCCGGTTAACATTCAAGCACATATGGGGACCGGGATTTACAATCCCTGACCCCTAGATGAAGAGCTAATGAAAGTTAATGTCTTCTAGTGCATGAAAACACAATTTCCTTTAACTATATACCCCCTGATAGATCAACCATACTCCAGTGGATGACCCTACACCCTTAAGTTTATGGGCATCACAAATTAGACTCTGTTGTTTTTTAAAAGGACACAAAGTTGGAAGGAATGGAGATTGGGGGTAAATTTGGCAAGAATTAGAAGAAAAGGAGATGAATGTGTTCAAAATAGAGTGTATACATGTATTAAATTCTCAAAGAATTAATAAAATGATTATATTAAAAAGGGACCATTAGGTGGGCTGGAGAGATGGCTCAGTGGTTAAGAGCACTGACTGCTCTTGCAGAGAACCCAGGTTCAATTCCCAGCACCCACATGGCAACTATGAACCATCCTTAACTCCAGTTCCAGGGGAATCCAAATCCCTCTTCTGACCTCTGCAGCATTGCACAACATGGGTGCACTCGCATACATGCTGGCAATAGACTCATAAACATAAAATAAATAAAATATTCTTTAAAAAATGGACCATTAGGTCAAGGCTATATAAAATCAAGGAAAAGAAAGAGGCAGGGAAGAGGGGCAGAGAAGATAAGGGAGCATCAGTGATAAAGGTAGAGACAGGTAGAGTTGGGAGTGTGGGAATGCCAAAAAGTGCTAATTCGTGAGCAATGAGGAGACATGCCAGAGAGCAATGCATTGACAAAATGTACACAGGTCACTTGTCACTGAGAAAAAATTCCTTAGATGGTCACTCTTATGCTTTCTAGGCTCTGTGGGCCACTCACCATATGTACCTAACCCCTCAGGCTGACTCTCCCTTTAAATTTTAGTTAGTCAGTGTCCCTCATAAAAATTGTTGGTATCTCAATCTCAAAATACAGACACACACCACCACTGCCAAGCTCCATCTAAGCGTCCTGTTAATACTGGGATAGCACAAAGGTTTGAGGCTGGATGCTGATGTACTGGCCTTTCTGAGCAATGCGTCAAGGCCTTATCACTGGCCAGAGTGCCAATAATCTGCCTCTGTTACTAACACAACAGTTGAGAGGTTGAATGGACCTCAACATTACCTCTAATGGCTATGGCTTTTCTGTTTTAGGACAATCACCACCTGGAAAACCTGAGATCCTCAAATGTCGTTCTCCTGATAAGGAAACTTTCACCTGCTGGTGGAAACCTGGGACAGATGGAGGACTTCCTACCAATTATTCACTGACTTATGTTAGAGAAGGGTAAAAAAACTCTCTTTGTTCATATCAAACCCCAGCAGAGTGCTCATATTCTCCAGGCCCAAGTAATACTGGTTCTGAGTTAGAAATACCAGACTTCCCTAGATTTATACTAATACGGCTCCTACTACCAGGAAAGGAATCTAATGTCTCTGCCCATCTTGTCTTGTGAATGTTTTTTAAAAGTCCTCTCAGTTTTCAAAAGCCTATCAGCCAGTAACAGTATAATCTTAGAGACGTTTCAAATTGCCTCTTACAAGCTTAGGTTGCAGGCTAAGTCCCCATACACGTAGTTCCTAAGTGCTGATTAGTCTTAGATGACTACTCTATAAACTTTGAACCATTTATAATTTTTCTTTAGTAAATATACTACTTTTGCAACATAATAGAGTTATATAAACTATGTGATCTTTGACAGACATGGTACATTCAGTTTTTAGATTTGTTTCATGCCCAATAAAAAAAGTAACATTTAAGGAAAAAAAGTTGAAAATTTTTTTTTACTAAATTGCTGATCTAAAACTCACCATCTCAGTCAGTCATGGGAATACATATCTGTAATCCCAGCACTCAGGAGGATAAGGCAGGAAGATTACGAGTTTAAGGACAACATGAGCTGCATAGAAAAACCTTAACTCAAACAAAACAAAATAAAAAACAGAACTCAGGATCTCCTTAAGGACGTATTTAGATGTAACCCCACCATAAGAACCAAACAAGATCTTCTCTGGGTGGTAATTTAGATAAAATCACAATGAAACATCCCCCTCCCAGAAATCCTGAGCAAGCTATAAAAATATTACTTTAGAATGAAGTACACCTCCATATCTTGAACCTAAAAATAAAATATGTATTACTTATGGAGACAGCTGGGCCACTTTCCAGGGACTGTACTCATTTGAACACAAAGTTGTCCTCCCATCTGGTATCCAAAGAGGCATAGTCCAAATATTTCATGAATTCAAACTGGCACTCAGGATTGAAGGAGCCCGCAACACCTGTGTGGTATGGCTAGAGGTAAGACGCTTGAATAAAAACATAACGGGCTGGAGAGAGGCACAGCCATCAAATAGAAATATGTATAACTTAATGAGCCACTTGGGTCTGAGATATCTTTCAAAGTCCATTGACATTATTTCTGGCTTGATACCATTTAAAATACACAGACATGAGTTTGTCTCCTCCTGAGTCCTCTTTTACAAATGTAGCTCAACTTGTTTATGCAGTAAATGTGCATTATTGCACATTATATGCAATAAATGTCCACAGTATGTATGTGTACCAGTGAGGGTCTGCACATCCGAAGGGGATGCAGTTGTGGTACCCTTAGTATGACTGCACCTCTGCCACTGATAAACCGAGAGGACGTACCACAGAGTTCATAGAAGCATTTGCAGGAAAGACGGGCTAATGGATAGAAAAGTAATGAAGGTGCCAAAGGAACCTTCCTACCCCTTCTCCCAGCACTCTCCTGCCCTTTTCCCCCAGCTGATATAAATGGAGCACAGAACCACAGCAACTTTTGTTTTGATTCCCACTTTTGCACTTGAAATACCTGATTTTGATCCCCAAAATCCAGTAGCATTGATCTATTAAGAAAAAAAGCTACATTCTTATTATTTTCTTACACTTAATGCATTCCTCCTTGCAGAGATGAAAACACCTATGAATGTCCAGACTACAAAACCAGTGGCCCCAACTCCTGTTTCTTTAGCAAGAAGTACACATCCATATGGAAAATATACATCATCACAGTAAATGCCACTAACCAAATGGGAACCACTGCCTCAGAGCCACTTTACGTGGATGTGACTTACATAGGTAAGGGGAAGAAAAGTACGTGAGGAACCTGTTACTCTGTTATGTATTGATCAAAAGCCAAACTCAGTTGCAGAGTTTCTGGCTTATAGATGGATTCCTGATGAGAAAAATGAGAGGACTCATAATATCTTTATCAAGATATTTTATCAAGTATTTCACGTTAATATTTGTTGAGTCACTCTTGACAGTAAGATTGATGCTTGGGATCTTCGTATCCTGCTTTCCTTCAACCTTTGTTCCCATGTCAAATACCCAGTGTGAGTGTTCTATGTATACTTCCTTTATTAACCCTTTTCTCTGTTCTTTCCATGAACCAATGTCCCTTCTATACCAGTCAGTTCAAATATCTTTTTTGGTGGAAGTATGCTAGGGATCAAACCCAGGGCCTTGAGCATGTAAGGTAAGCACTCTACCACTGAGCAACACCCACAACTTCAAAGGATTTTTCTTTCTCCTCACAGAAGACAGGGCTAACCCTATGGAGAAGCTCTTTCAAAGGGTTCTTTTGGTTCTACATCCACAGGAATAATCCAAATGTTTTGAACAAAACTCAATTCTCAACATACATACTTCATTAAAATTTGAGATATTATTACAAAGAAAGAATTTGGGAGTGCTAGGGATATAACTTAATGGCAGAATGCCTGCCCACTATTTAAAAGCCCTGAATTCAACCTCTAGTGTCAATAATGATGATAATAATAATAATAATAATAATAATAATAATAATAAAGAGCAAAGTCAGCCTGAGAGATATTCCTTGCTCTGAGTGATCAGCTTTATGCTGCACGGCACTTGGACATGACTGCAGTGGCCTTTATGGTTTAGCACAGACAACAAATCAAATCCTAGAAGAGATGACATGAGGTGAACTAGGTTCATTTGCCCTAATTTGCTTTTCTGTTGCTGTGATAAAACACTGAACAAAACCAACTTGGAAAATAAAGGGTTTATTTGGCTTGCAGGTTACATCAAGGGAAGCCAAGGTAGGTACTCTAGGCAGAAACCTGGAGGCAGGAACTGAAGCAGAGACCACGCAGGAACGCTGCTTACTGGCTTGATTCTTGGCTTGTTCAACCATCTTTATTTTTCTTTTCTTTATTTTGTTGTTGTTATTGTTTTGTTTTGGTATTTTTTACAAATTTCACACAATATATTTTGATCGAATTTAGATCTCTTTCAACCCCTCTATCATCTGCACCCCCTCACTACCCCCTCCCAATTTCATGCACACAGAAAGAGAGAGAGAGAGAGAGAGAGAGAGAGAGAGAGAGAGATATACATAGAGAGAGGGATGAGAGTGTGATCTTAGTGTGGGTTCATCCACTGGAGCTGTTAATCTAACAAGTCTCACCCTTAAACAAATTTGACTCTCCTCCTCCCAGTAGCCATCTGTTGCCAATGGGTCCTAAGGTATAGTTGGGGTTTCTTATCCACTTCCCCACGTCTGTGCTGGGATTCTGTCTGCCTTGAGTTTATGTGGGACTTGTGCATGCTCTCACCATTGCTGTGAGTTCATATGAGTAACTGCTCAGTTGTCTGGAAAACTCTGTTTCCCTGTAGCCATCCATCACTCTGACTCTTACGATCATTACGCCCCCTCTTCCCCAATGATCCCTGAGCCTTGAGATGCAGAAGTTTTTTATAAGTGTCCTATTCAGAGACAAGCACTCTGGAGTCTCTTGGTTTCTGCACATTGTTCAGTTGTGGGTCTCTGTGTTAATCACCATCAGCTGCATAAGTGAACTTCTCTGATGAGTTGAGAGATGCATTAATCTATGGGTATAATAATAAATCATCAGGAGTCAGTTTAATACTTTATCTATTTAGCAGAATAATAGTATTAGGCTCTCTGCTAGGACCTGTGACCTGTCTAGCCTCAAGTTTCTGGGCCTGATATCAATGCCAGGTATGGGCTTCATCTTAGAAATGGACCTTAAATCCAATTAAAGAGTGGTTAGTTACTACTATAATATCCATGCCATTATTGTACCAATGGGTATATCTTGCCAGGCAGATTGTAGCTCACATGGCTGTGTAAGGCTGATGATTAATTTTCTCTTCAGGTAGCATGCATAGCACCTTCTAGTACTATGAAAATTAGTTAGGAGAGATGAGGCTTTGAAGTCCAGCTTGATTTGTTCTTGTTTGTTCTGCAACTCTTATGTGAAGCATATTCAGTTATGCTTACTATTCAGAACTTATTATGAAGTTCTGGTGAGGAATTAAGAGCAGGGGCAATGGCCAGTGATGTTTGAGGAGCTGTACAACCCCTGGCCAACAGCCTCTAAAGGGTGAGTCCAATCCTGGCATTGAGCTTTTACTTTGCAAGCCTATGGTATCGAATAGGGACAATGTCCCCCTATTATAAGTTATCTCCTTTTAGTCTCTTTATATAATGTATATTTACACACTTTAAGAAGTTTCTAATGATAGGTTTCCATATGGCTTTTTCTAAAGGTCTTCAGTGTTTCTTATCCCTCCCCGTACTCACTCCTCTACCCTCTCCTCCCACTCCCCACCTCACTACCTCCCTCACATGACCCCCCACCCACAATGGCCATTCATTTATTGGTTTTCTGACCTCTGTGGATTTTCAAATTAAAGTATGCATATCTAAGATTTCAAAGATAGCACCCAGCTATGAGAGAGAACATGTGACATTTGTCTTTCTGGGCTGGGTTACCTCACTCAGGATGATTGTTTTCAGTTCTACCCATTTACATGCAAATTTAATAATTTTGTAATTTGAGAGTTGGATAATATTCCATTGTGTATATGTATCACACCTTCGTTATCTGTTATCAACTGATGGACATCTAGGTTTTTTACAGTTCCTGGCTCTTATAAAAAGGGCAACTATGAACATGAATGAACAGGTATTTCTGTAGTCGGGTATAGAGTCCTTTTGGTATATGCCCAAGAGTGGAGTGGTTGGATCATATGGTAGATCGGTTGCTAGCTTTTTTAGAATCTCTATACTGATTTCTAAAGTGACTGCACCAGTTTGCAAAATCTAACATCCATTCATGATAAACAGCATGGAGAATCTAGTGATACAGGGGACATATCTCAAAATAATAAAGGTAAAATACTACAAGCCCACAGGAAGGAGATAAAGAGGATACAAATTGGAAAGGAAGAAATCAAAGTATCCTTATTTGCAAATGATATGATTCTGTATATAAAATACCCTAAAGGCCCCACTAAAAAACTCCTAGAGCTGATAAATACATTCAACAAAGTAGTAGTATATAAAATTAACACCCCAAATTCCATAGCAACAAACATACCAAGAAAGAAATCAGGGAAATGAATAAACCCATTCATAATAGCCTCAAAAACATATAAAGTATCTTGTAATCGATATAACCAAGGAAGTGAAGGAGCTATATAATAAAAACTTTCAGACATTGAAGAAAGAAAAAAAGATACCAGAAGATAGAAAGACCTCCCATACTCATATTATGGAAATGGCCATCCTATCAAAAAGAATCTACAAATAATGAGCTATCCATTAAAATTTCAGCACAATTCTTCACAGAAATTGAGAAGAATAATTTCAAATCTTAAGTGGAAACACACAAGAAAAAACAGATTAGTCAAAGCAATCCTGAACAATAAAAGAACTGCCAGAGGCATTACTATCACTGATCTCAAAATATACTACAGAGCTATAGTTATAAAAACAGCATGGCACTGGCATAAAAACAAATACATTGATCAGTGGAATAAAATTGAAGACCCAGATTTAAATGCACACATTTACAGCCATGTGATTTTTGACAGAAGAGACACAAATACATACCAGAGAAAAGATAGCACATTCAATAAATGATGTTGGTCAAACTGGATAGCTGCTTATAGACAAATGAAACTAGATGCCTATCTCCCATCATGCACAAAAACCAACTCCAAATTGATGAAGGACCTCAACATAAGACCCAATACCCTAAATCAGGTTGAAGAGAAACTAGGGGATACATTGGAACTTATAGGCACAGGGAAGAACTCCTATAGTGCAAGCATTAGGTTCAACAATCAAGAAACTAAAAACCTTCTGTACATCAAAGGATACCATCATTCAAGTGAAGAGATAACCTAAAGAATGGGAAAAGGCTTTATGAGCTATACTTCTGACTGGGGCTTAATATCTAGAATATACAATGCCTGTGGAGGTCAGAACAGGCATCAGATCCCCTGAAACTGGAGTTATGGATGGTTGTTAGCCTCCAAGTGGGTGCCAGGAATTGAACCCAAGTCCTCTGCAAGAGCAGTCACTGCTCTTAACTACTGAGCCATCTCTCCAGCTCCATGACTGGATTTTTTGATGTTTACTTTTTTGAGTTCTTTGTTACTGACCTGTTCAATAAGATGCTTCTCTGATCAAGGCTGAGAGCAGCACCAATCTATGGATATAAGCATAAATATTTAGGAAGCAATTTGACAAAATGGCTAGCAAATAACATCAATGGGTTCTCTCCTTGGGCCTGTGACTTCAGTAGCCTTAGACTTTGACCATTTTTTCAGTACCAGGCATGAATTCCCTCCTGTGGAGCAGGTCTTAAATTCAATCAAGAAAATGGTTGGTTACCCCCATAAACATCCTTGTACTATTGCACCAACGAGCACACCTTGCCTGGTAGGTCATTATTATAGCATGCAGGGTCCCGAGCTGAGTAGGACCATTGATGTCTTTTTTATTCCAGCAACCTGCATAGCACCTTCTAGCACTATGCAAGGTAGCCAGCAGGGGAGAATTTCCTGGTCTTTTCAAGTTCCGTTTCTTTTTATTTTTTAAATTTTAATTTATTGAATTTTTGCCATTTTCATACAATATAATTTGAAAGCATTTAGATCCCCTCCCCTAATCCCACCTCCCACGAATGCCCCCTGCCCAATTTAATGTACTCTATTATATATAAGATGTATCGAGTATAATTTGTGTTCAGTGTGGATCCATCCACTGGAGCCTGGTTACGCTGCCAAGAGATCCATCCTTGAAAGAGACTGTCTCTGCCCTTCCCAGCAGCCATCTGTTGCCAAAATTTCCTTAGGTGGTGTTTGAGCATCTTATCTACCTCAGACCTATGCGGGATTTTTCTGGCTTGGGCTTATGTGGGACTTGTGCATACATGTCAACGTTATTGTGAATTTATATGAATATCTGACCAGCTGTCTGGAAAACTCTTCCTTGTGGTCATCTACCACCTCTGGCTCTTACTGTCTTTCTGCCTCCTCTTCTACAATGATCCCTGAGCCTTGGGAAGTAGATTTTTGGTGTAGGTGTCCTATTCAAGGATAAGCAGTCTATAGTCTCTTGTTCTTTGTACGTTGGTCAGTTGTGGGTTTCTGTGTTAATCACTATCTGTTATATAAGGAAATTTCTCTTGTGAGAGTTGAGAGATGCATTCATTTATAGGTAAAACAGTAAATTATTAAGAGTCAGTTTAATATGATAACTAGTAGATAACTAATATTAGGTCCTCCCCTATGTCCTCTCACCTGTCTAGTCTCAGGTTCCTAAGCCTGATATCAATGTCAGGAATTGGATCCATCCTAGGAAGTGGACCTTAAATGTAATTAAAGAGTGGTTGGTTATTCTCATAATAGTTGTCTCATAAGGAGAGGTTTTCCATTCAATCCAACTATTGTACCGGTGGTCATATCTTGCCAGGTTAGTTGTTATTGTAGTTCACAGGATTCACATCTGGTAAGATTGATAATTAATTTTCTCTTTAGGTAGCATGCATAGCACCTTCCAGCACTAAGTTCAGTTTCTTTATGTCCTGCAACCAAAGTATGCACTGTCTTCACCAATAGGATTTCACTATCTAGTTATGAGTGGACAAAAACAATGCAATAGCAATAATGTTTGAGAGCCTCTGAGGTTTCCCTGACCAATAACTCATAAAGAGGTGACCTACACTGAAATTTTCATTTAATAATGCATGTCTTTTGGAAGCAGCACTGTTCATCTATGCATGATATCTCTGTTCAAACTCCTTTTTTATTTTATTTTTAATTATCTCACAAACTAGTGGGGTTTCATACGACTTCACAAATCTTTAGTTTTAGTTAACCCTCTCCCCATCCCTCCTTCCCCCCACCCCCCCTGCCTCACCCCCTCTTACATCCTTAGCTCCCAGTATTCCCCCACCTGGTGTTTCATATCACGTGCATTCTACTATCCTCTTTTATTATATTTCTAACTTGGGTTGCAACATTAAAGGTTCCTGTTAGATTTTACATGCATACTTTATTTTGGTTAATACTTCACTAAAGCTTAATTTTTATGCAACTGTAGGTCAAGATGTCAAGTATACTGTAGTTATGCACACCCTTTCCCAACCTACAATAGAGACTAATTTGAGGAGAACATGAGTGGAGAACATGTTATTGACCAATAGGAGTGAGAGTAGGGTAGGGCAAGCCAGCAGCCTCAGCATTTCACTTGTAAGGGATTTATTCCCAGGTCCTAGTCTTAGAGGAATCTGAGAGTAAGTACCTCCTTCCAGTATTTGTAATTATAGTAAAATACACATAACAAAATCATTATTTTAAATGATACTGTGTGATTTAATGGTATCAGTTCATTCAGAATTATTACATAGCCATTAACTAGTTTAGCTCTTATCTGGGAGAAATAAGCTATTTAAAATAGTCTCAAATAAAAGCTGCCTCTGGGTTTCAAATAATAGTTTTACCAAATATGTGCAATTGTCCCTCATGTATACCTGTTTTCTCTTCTATAAAATGGGCACAGTAGTAGAAATTCATGACATTTTGGGAGGTGGGGATTAAATGATGGTACATGAGTTTCATTATGTTCATGGCATGTGATAACACTCAAGAAATTTTAGGAATCATTTTGCTAGTGGGAATTCAGAAAAAAAAATCATTGAATGGATGAATGGGCCAAGAAGACATTCTGGGGTTGCGCAAGGGAACAGTGTGAAGAAGTTCAAGTTCTAAGTACACATTAACCATTTAATGTCTGGAAGAATGAATTCCATTCTCCATAGGCAATAATACGTATATTGAGTGTGAAATGTTACCTACAAAGTTATGAATATGAATAGCTGGTCCACAAAAACCATGCATATCATCAAGAAGACTCTTGCTCCAAACTAAGGGAAATAAACTACTTCAAATCCTTTCCCAATAATCATCTATCCCAACTTCCACTTGAGAATACCATCCCAATTACTATCATGTGGTTCCTGTCATCAGGAAAATGATGTGAGGATGTCTCAGACCTTGGCTGGTGGAAAGTAGAAAATATAGCCAAAATAAGATCTCAGCTTCTTGTTGTCCTTACAATTCAAACGTCATCTCCAAGTACAAACATGACTGATCACATACTAAGAGGAAAAATATATTCATCTTGTTTTCTAAGAGCCTGTAATGAAGTATGACACATGAACTGATAGAAAACCCAATTCATGATAGAAAACAGTAGGGCCAAAGAGAGAAGGTGCATGCACTGAAGGAAACTGCCATTTCTTTTTTATCTACAGTTGAGCCAGAACCTCCTCGGAACTTGTCTTTAGAAGTGAAGTGGCCAAAAGACAGAAAACCATATCTGTTGATAAGATGGTCCCCACCCAACATAACGGATCTAAGAAGTGGTTGGTTCACAATGGAGTATGAAATTCGATTAAAGTCTGAGGAGACAGATGAGTGGGAGGTGAGTCGAATCAAAGCTTATTGGAGGAAATGATGATCTTTGCCAAGGATGAACTCTCACAACTGAGAACAGATAATTTCTTCACTTAGTTGGCTACTCTGTGGGCCTCCCCATGCAAACATGGTCCTCTTAGATAATGGAAATCCCTTCTCCCTTGTGTTGAGATTGAAGGATGTTCATAGTCACAGTTCTCCCAAAGATAACTGCTTGCACTAGACAGATTCTCCCTTAGGTTTCCAACTTACCTTTCTAAGTAAAGGTTTATGCTGTGTCAACCAGATGGCTTATGCCTCCTGATGGTGATGAATGTATAATGAAATATACTCTTACTAGCTAAGAATGGTCTCTCAGACCCAAACATCTCTGAAAGAACATAAATTATACTGGGGCTAGAGGTAGGAGAATCTCAACTTAATCTGTCCATGGTTAATATGTTTCTAAAGAAATACTTTAAAATATTTTAATATGAAAACATTACCAAAAATTATAGGCATTATAATATTCCATTCTTATATATATACATTATTTATTATTTTTATTTTATGTGTATGCATATATTGCACCCATGTCATGTAATGCCTGCAAAAGACAGAAGAAGCTGTTGGATCCCCTGGAACTGAAGTTACAGATAGTTGTTAGCTGCCACGTAGGTGCTGGTATTTGAACACAGGTCTTCTGCAAAAACAACCAGTGTTCTTAACCACTGAGCCATCTCTCCAGCCCCAATATTCTATTCTTAAATGCCTTAGCATGCGTCTCTATTGAAAAGGGGCATTTGCAAATGTAGTCAAAATAATAGGATCACACATAGAAAAGGTAACTAAAATCCCTTAATAACATACAGTAGCTAGTCCATATTTTAATCCTCCCTATCCCAGTTTCTTCACAATTATCTCTTTTTAATATTTTATTATTTATTTTATGTGTATGTATGACTGTATTGCATGCATGTATGTAAGTGTACCTGTGTCATGCAATGCCCATGGTGGTCAGAAGAGGGTGTCAGATCCCCTGGAACTGGAGTTACAGACAGTTGTTAGCTGCCATGGGGTTGCTGGAATTGAACCCAAGTCCTCTGCAAGAGCAGCTAGTGCTCTTAACTGCTGAGCTATCTCTCCAACCATTCAAAATTATCTTTAAAAGTTGGTTTTTCCAAACCAGAATGTACTCCAAGACAATTCCGATGTGCCAAGAAAACTAGGCTGCTTGTATCATAAGGATGTCCCACAATCTTTTTTATAGTATTTTAGTCACTTAGCTAATTTCTCTGCCCCTATGTTTCCAGGCATTAGATATAAAGGACTTGATTAGATTCAGGTCTAATCAAGAGATATTTGACCCAACAAACTCTACAGTAAGAATGTATTTCATAATACATTCACCACCATCATGAGGCATAAGCCACCTGGTTGACCCAGCATAAATGATTGTAAAACTGAGCCTTGGATTAGGGAGATGGATATCTTCATTGTTAAATCATGTTTGATTTGTGCACAATTATTTCAACATACATGAAGACCTGGTTTTCCTATACCTTATGGTTTTAACACCAGTCAATAATCTTTTGAATCAGTTTGTAAACTAATAATTTTATTATCTCTTATACAAGGATAATGTTAATTTCTTAATATTTGTCTTTTCTTTCACGAGGTAAAGTTGAATGGAAGGGGTGGAAAACTGTCTTTCTGAAGTAAAGTTCCAAATAAAGAAATAGAAAACCTTTTAAACTTTTATGTGAACAGATTTTAAGAGGATGAAGGAATGAAGCTGAAAGAATGGAATGGAATGCTTAAAACAGGGTGTCTTCTAGGCACGATCATGCCTGCCTAACTCTCTGATAGCTTATTACTTAGAGGGAAAGTCTCTTTCTTCTTCATAACAAAAATCAGAAATGACTTCCGTTTTCCTTGTTTCTCCTTAGATTCATTTTGCAGGGCAGCAAACACAGTTTAAGATTTTCAGCTTATATCCAGGACAAAAATACTTTGTTCAGACTCGCTGCAAGCCAGACCATGGATACTGGAGCAGATGGGGCCAAGAGAGTGCCATTGATATACCTAATGGTGAGTGTCTGAGCTACATCTTTTGCCTGGATCTATAAATACTGTAAACAATAAAACTTCATATAATAGCTAGTAATAGAGAAATTATTTGAGCCATTTCTAGAAAAATAGGTAGAAGTGTATTTATCATCTCCTAATCCAACACAAAGAATAAGACTGCAGACATGTGCAGACACAGCATGCCTCCAAGGATTTACTAGCCATTCATTCTGCCCTTCTTGTTTTAGCAGGTCCATTCTCTATTTTCCCAGAATGTTTAAGGTGGTATCCCATCTCAAAGGCATGGATTTCTTTTTAATCTCTGATAAGAACTACATGTTGATATCTTAGTCAAGGCACAGTATAAGAGACTGACCAACCATTATATATGCTAGCTCATTCGATGGGGCAATGAGTCATATCACATTTCTAAATGTTTAAATGTGTATGTGTGTGAGAGAGACAGAGAGACAGAGAAAGAGAGAGAGAATACAGCATATACATATATATATATATATATATATATATGTGAAGCAGGTGAAGCGCTTACCTTAATGAACAGTAGCTTCCATTTCCATTACTGAAACTGATCGTGTAACCTTGGATTCTCTTTTAAAGAATCAAATAAAACAACATGTAAAAGGATTTTAAATTGTGTGAAATATATCCAACATATTACAATATTAATAATATTGGAGAAAATCAAACCTGTTGTTGATGGATTGCTTTTCAAGTCAAAAGATATAAGTAGAAAATTTTTTCTTGAGTTCCAAAGTTTCATGCATTACATTGGCTAACTGGCTGCTTTTAATGATAATATATGTGATCAAAGCTTTCTGGATGTTTGTTTTTTAGACTTCACCATGAAAGATACAACCGTGTGGATCTTTGTGGCTGTTCTTTCTGCTGTCATCTGCTTGATTATGGTCTGGGCAGTGGCTTTGAAGGGCTATAGGTACTACATTGTCTCTCCGCCCTTCTCTCAATCATTGTTGTCAGGGATAATGGTCCCCAAAAAGGATGTTACAAAGATGATGGAAACCAACAGACAGCTGAAGTGCTCCATTTATCCATTAGGTCCAGTACTTTTGCTTGTACAAAAAATCTTTTATCAGTGGATATAAAAATGGACTTATTTGAGTTGGGTATACCAAATAGGGACTCAGAGTTGTGAAATAGTAGAAATCTGACAAAAGCAGCTAAAATTAAGAGAACCGAATAGTACTATCCACTAGCTTGAAATTAGCATCTGGAATTAGCCAGAGCCCATTGTAATGGAGGTCTTTATAAATTATTATCCTTATTTTACTGTTACTTTCATGTACCTGTAGAATCCTGTCTCTTAAAATTCAGGTAGCAGCCATTTGGAGATAAAAATATTCTTTCAAAAATTACAAAGTGAAAAAAATGAGTCATTTATCCAATCTCACAAATTATTTTATAGCATGATGACCTGCATCTTTCCACCAGTTCCCGGGCCAAAAATAAAAGGATTTGATACTCATCTGCTGGAGGTAAGTGCCAGAGGCAGAGAATGCAGTGTGGCTCACCTCTTGGTAATGGTTAAGTTCATACATGTATACATAGTCCCTGTTGATCGAATCTGGCCCTCTTGTTCATCCCTTTCCAGCTGCCCCTTCTCATCAGCATGAATGTTAATAGAAAGATATGAGGGATGAGATGCTAATCATCAGATTCTAAAAGTCAGAGGGCAGGGAAAGAAGGCCAAGGAACCTGAAACTTCATGCTACTACATTCTATATTGCCCAGGACTGCTCCTAAAAACAGAGATGGCCATTTTGTTCAAATAATCAGTTTAGAAAAAGAATAGACAACTTAGCTGATACAAAGCAGGGGCCCACCACTGCCATCTCCATTGTACATGGGTAAAATCTTACACTTAAATGTTCTTTACATAAAATCATTGTGACAGGACTTCCCACTGTCATCAGTGCTCCATTTGACCATCATTAGATCAGTACAGTGTGGACTGCTGTTTGCCAGAGCACATTTAGACTGATTTTGAGAGGGAATTAAAGCATTTTAAATTTCTCTCTAAGTTGAAATGTATAGTTTCAATTTGATCTTAAAACAGTGATGTTAAGAAGCCTTTACCTATATACAAAAGTAAATGCCAGCTGACATGGTTATTGTGAAGATAATAGCATAAGAATATGAAAAGTGAGTCCTAAAGAATTTGACTTGTCTGCTAAAAGTCACTCTGGTTGCAAATGTCAGAGCAGGAACTAGAGCCAAGGAATTTGGGCTTCTGGTCCAGTGCTCTTGTCCCACTAGTTAGTCTAGCGTTAACACCAACATGAATGTCTCTATACACCAACATGAATGTCTTAACTAAGTAAATTGACTACTGTCTATCTTACAACCTGCTAGTCACAGAGATTTAATGGCTACTCTAGGGTTCCACTTTTAATAGTCTTGTTTACATTATCTCTAATGCTCAAAAGAACCCTCCTAGATAAGTACTGTTTCTCCCATCATTAAACTGGAAAGCCTGAGGTTCAGAGAGGAGAGCAACTGATCCAAAGTCATATCGACCTTATAAGTGATAAAAAAAAAAAACCCAGGTTTAGGCACTATTACATGATGCAAAGCAGAGGACTAGGAAGAAGAGAGGAAGTAAGAAGAGACTGAAGAGAGAAAGAATAGGAGGGGAGAACAGAAGAGAGAGAAGATATGGACTAGGAGGAAGAGAGGAAGAACAGAAAGAGAGGAGCAGGAAAACTGGGATAGGAAGAGAAGGGAGCGAAGGTGACGGGGGGAGAGGGAGAAGGAAGAAATGGCAGGAGAAGGAAGAGACAAGACCCAACTCACTGTTGCCAGACTCCAAAATGTGGTAGAGGGGGCTAGGAGGCCACAAACCACATCTCAGAACCACTCTGCCAGTGAGGACCAGTGTCAGACACATACACAAACACTGTGGCTTCAAATGTTTCAAAGGATTTTTTAATTTAATAGTTATATGTTTATGGTACATCTAGTAGTATAGTACTTACCCATTAAATTCATGACCACTATCGCCTAGAGCAAAGTTAAAATTATGAGCTGATTTAAAGAAAAGTATTTCATGAATAGTACCCAGAAGGTGGTTATAGATGGCCTGACACACGTGCCTGAAGTCTGGGGGGATTCTGTGAGACTGCTCACAGAAGCCTTCTGTACATCAGGAGATGAGAACCTTCCTTTCCAAGACTAAGCAAGACACAGCGTGGCTGCTGCCCCAAGGAGAAAACCCCCTTTATTCTACTCAGATACCACTCAGCTGTGATACCAAGTATGGCAGATGATGAAGCTAACGGCCATCTCTCCTTGTGTCTGTGTTTCAATAGAAGGGCAAGTCTGAAGAACTCCTGAGTGCCTTAGGATGCCAAGACTTCCCCCCCACTTCTGACTGTGAGGACTTGCTGGTGGAGTTTTTAGAAGTGGATGACAATGAGGACGAACAGCTAATGCCATCCCATTCAAAAGAGTACCCAGGTCAAGGTGTTAAACCCACACATCTAGATCCCGACAGTGATTCTGGCCATGGAAGCTATGACAGCCATTCTCTTTTGTCTGAAAAGTGTGAGGAGCCCCAAGCCTATCCCCCTACTTTCCACATTCCTGAGATCATTGAGAAGCCAGAGAATCCCGAAGAAAATATTACTCCCATCCAAGACCCCCAGAGCAACATCCCCTATTTTCATGCAGATGTGTCCAAATCTTCAACATGGCCTTTACTGCCTGGCCAACATATGCCCAGATCTCCTTACCACAGCATTGCTGATGTGTGCAAGCTGGCCGGAGCCCCTGTAGATGCAGTGGCCTCTTTCCTGGACAAAGCAGGAAAAAATGCTTTAAAATCTTCTAAAGCTTTTGAGACTGGAAAGGAAGAAAAGGTGGCTAAGCAGGAGATGGAAAGCCTCCATTCAAAGACTAAAGAAGAGACATCATGGCCACTGCTCCAGGAGAAAGCCTCCTTTATCTATGCTAAACCCCTGGATTACGTGGAGATTCATAAGGTCAACAAAGATGGAGTACTATCATTGTTACCAAAACAGAAAGAAAACTGTGACCAGGTGGAGAAGCCTCGGGCTTCTGAAACCAGTAAAGAATATGCCAAGGTGTCTGGGGTTACAGATAACAACATCCTGGTCTTAGTGCCAGAGTCACAAGTTCAGAACATGGCTTTGTTTGAGGAATCAGCCAAGAAGGCTCCATCACCTCTTGAACAGAACCAATCTGAGAAAGACCTGGCCAGCTTCGCTGGAACATCAAGCAACTGCAGGCTCCAACTGGGCAGGCTAGATTACCTGGATCCTACGTGCTTCATGCACTCCTTTCATTAACAGCTAGACTAATGGAACGATTGGTTCAAATGTGATTTTTCTTCAGGTAACACTAAAGAGTCATGAAATAATATGGTCTGCTAACAAATGCTACAGAATATGGGCAAAAGTAACACTACTTTCTCCTTTTCTTGTTCCATGTTCAACGCTCGCCTCTTTCCAACAGCTGATACCCAGAGCAAATCAGTCTTGTCTCCTGACTGTGATTTGTAGATTTGCTTTTTGCTTAAAAAAAAAAAATTATGTGTTCAACAAAATAAAAGCACACTGCTTAGTATTCTTGCAGGATGGTGCCAATAGGTGTAGCCTCTGGGATGGATTTGGCATGTGATACAAGGAAGTAAAAGTCAAAATGATTTCTCATAAGAAAATGACAGATATTTGGAAAATGCCTTGAGAACTGCCTTTGAAAACCAATTACTAAACCTTTACCCTCCTCTTTCATATCATTAGGGTGGCCCAAATATAGTACCTTTTTAAAAGAATACATTCCAGGACACCTGTCAAATTGTTTACATCCTATACCTTACTGACACATCGCCTGTACACAGATGAAATAATGCCTTCAATCATAATGCCTCTTTCTTGAGATCATTTGAATATGCTAAGCATGGATTCCCTAGCCTAAACTTTGTTTCATTCTAAGGCCCCTAGAGTATGTAGTTTTGGAAAGTAAAATTTTCTTACACAATAGGAAAATGAATTCCATGTGGTAAATCATTTCAGAAAGTTTTCCTCCTTCATTTCAGCAGGAAGGACAATTTATTATATACCCTAGTATTTTCTTAGCAAAAATAAAAATCCCAAAAGGCTAACTTTAATTTAAAAGATAATCATAGCAAGATGCTAACAGAAATGCTGCCTTACTGTACATACAAATCCTACTTTAATACAAACCCATACATTTAGCAATGTATTTTTGAACTATTTTTCTATCGCTTAGGTAAAATAAAAGACTATTTTCTATTTTCCAAGTACAGCTGTTTATGTATTCAGTGGGCACAGTACTTTCTGCTGCAAGGTTATAAAGAGTATCAAAGTACATAATAGTATTTACAGTCCCTGTTTGTGAAATGAAATGCCACGCCCATCTGAAGCCCACTGAGGAATGTGAAGTAGATGAAAAAATTAGTTTGTAATACAACAGAGTACAGCTTCTCCGGTCCTTTTTATCTCAAGAATACTTTAAACAACAATGACCAATGACTTAAGGTTTTAGACCTCTCCATAGACCTAAAGTAATTTCTGCTCTGAGTTTAGAGCTTCTATCTACCTGTGGATGAGTCTGATGAACCACCATGAAAAAAGGTGATTCCTAATACAGTTTCCACAGTGGAGATTTGGCTTCATTTTGTGTTTTTTTTTTTTTTCTTCCCCCTGAGAAATCAGGGACATAAAAGATCTCTTTGGAGTAAGATGCATTTGAAAAATCTTGGCAGAGACTGTACTCACGTCAGGAACATCCAGAAAAAAGTTTTAGAAGGCAGACATCGGTTTAGTGATAGGAAGAGCTTTAAAGGTCAGGCAGTGGTAGAGAGAATCTTCAAGTCAGTTCCACGGGCAGGCTTCCTGAGGAGGGGCCATACCTTGGATTTTCATTTCTATAGGAGCATCCAGGACTCATCTACTGCACACTGCCTTCCTGTACTTTTCATTTCACCTACTGGAAAATCTATTCTCTGTCCATTCTCTAGCTGAATATAGAAAATCTGAACTCCTCTCTGAGTTAAATACTTTACCCAACAAGCACATGTTGGGTGGAATTAGACTCAGAGGTTCCCTAATGATTGAAAGTGGACACATAACTGAGGCTTTGAGAAATACACATGCAAACACCTGAAGCTCTATTTCCAGTAATAAGCATCTTATGAACAACAGAAGCATTTGGACAAGTGATGTGATCCAAGGTCATCCAACACCCTAGATCCTCACTACTCAGTGTCTGAGGTCCAACTGTATTGATATCATGTCGGCACTGTTTGGAAATTTTGGTTGCAGCATCTCACACTTCACCTCAGACCAACAGAACCAGAACCTGTATTTTACCAAAAGCCCCTTAATAATTCATGTGCACATTGAAGTTGGAGAAACATTGATCTCAACAACCATCTCCACTAAAATGTTCTTTTCCTCTCTTGAAAAGTATGGAGCAAGTTTATTTAACTTGAAATGAGGAAACAAAAACAAAACTATTAATGGTCTGAGATTCATATGAAGCTTATATGAAGTCACATGAGAGAATGATCTGCAAAGCTTACACAACTTCCAAGAGAGTCAGAGAACATAATCCACCTTGAAAGATACTGACTGAAGAAAATTACCTTCAAAATCAATGCAAATTAAGCCTTTTCCAGCAAAGTCTATTCTCCAGGAGCTAGAGATAGATATATAGAGAGATTAGATGTAGATGTATATTTATTTATAAAATATGACTGATAAAATCGATAGTGCATTATTACTCACAGTTGTAAAATTTAAAAGCAATCTGCCTTGGGTATATAATTTTACATACATGAAAAATTTTATGATGGGCTAAAGATACATTGTATCACACAAAAATCAGTTAACATTAAATGAAGTCAAGTTCTATGATTGAGTAGTTTGAGTTTACGGTCTAATATGTTTTTTGTTGAAAGGCAGATGCTTGAATGAAAGAATGCCTATTAGGAGACAGGACACCTGGGTTCTAGTCTTGTTTTTTCTTGGAAAGACCAGTTCACCTTTCTGGATTTCAGTTTTCTAACTATATAGAACCAATACTCTCTAAGGCCTTTTGAGGAATGGAATCATCTCCTTGATTCCATGACTTACTGAATAATTTGAAATAATGCCTTGTATTTTGAGTAAGCTGTCAAAAAATTGCTCATTATAGAAATGCAGAGCAATCTTCAGTGATGTACTAATCATGGTTGACTTTTTAAATGATCATCTCCAGGTTTGCCTTTGCATATTGCACATGTACCTATATAGACATATAATATAGTAAATTGCACATGGATATAGCATAAGTTTTCATCTAAGATCATGTGCAAATATGTGTGCAGAGAGAACATAGAAAAGAGACACAGTGAGACACTAATATTTTAGAAAACATATTTTTTACTGCATCAAGCCATGCTCATTTCTGGATGAATCCAACAGCCTCAAATCTCTTTTCTTATATTTGGCTGTTGAGTATTTTTCCCTATCAGCACAGTTAATGAATAACCATTTCACAAGTTGTTTAAAGACCCTTGTGCTCTGAGTTATAGTTATAGTTGTATAAACAATTATCTAAAAAATTTAAGTTATGAATATATGATTTGTGGGAGTTTAGAACACAAATGGCAAGATGTTCTTTGATAAGTTTAATAAATATAAGGAACTTTAATATGAGCACAAATTACTGCCAGCTGTGACATTGATTTTTAGTAGATGATATATTCTCCTAAGTGCCTGAGACCTATTCTGGTAGTCAGTTATAAGTTAATGACTCACTGTAGCCTGGTTTTGTGGGACCCAATCAATCTCTTATTGTTTGTATAGTATCAAAGCTGAAAGATTCCTTGTCTGAGATGACGCAACAGATTGGTGAATCCTGAGCTAATGAGCAACCAGAGGACCCAGACTCAAGGGGAAATTTGTCCTGGAGGGACATTTAGCTCACCCGCTCTCTCTCTTCTTCCTTCCTTCCTTCCTTCCTTCCTTCCTTCCTTCCTTCCTTTTCCTTTCTTTTTCAGCTTTCCTCTGCTACCTATCATTTTCAAAAAGACTTGGAATGCCTTTAGCAACTTCCCTGTCCTTATAATAAGCAAGAAAGAAACAGATCTTATATGTTTTACAAAGTGCCTTTCTTTATGTTTTTTTAAAGGTTTCATTTTGAAAGAAATGTTTAATTGGAAAGTAAAATATATCTTACATGGATTTCTTTTAAATAAATGAAGATGTTTAAAAAAAGAAAAGCCAGAAAGGGAATGACTAAATGATCTAAAGACTGACCAGCAAAATGTTCACAGATTTTTGGATGTTCTTTAATTGAATCATCACAGAACTGAATCATCACAGACACTGAATCGTGTCAATTAATTTGCCTGAGTTTGAGTATGATTTGAAGATAAGCATGCCACCCTGTGATTCAAGGCTTCCCATTCTGAATGATATTGATTCATTCTTGAATGTCATTGAACTGCATGCCATGTCCTGAGGAGGACAATGTGTACATTTTGAAATTCTGCACACACATGGAAAAGTAAGGATGAACTTGAATTTATATTCCCAAACTTGCCATTGCTGAAAGCCTCACTGTACTTCATTGAACAGGTTTCCTCTTCTGCCTTTTTGTCTCAAGCACAATATTGTTGCTGCTAGGATAGTCATGGAACCCTACATGTCCAGCTTCAGGTCACATCACTGCCACTAAACAGGCTGAATGACCTTGATAAGTTCTTTTAATTCTGGCCACGGGTTCCCTCTCTTGTTAAATCAGTAGGTCAGCCAACAAATGTTTCTAAGATTTCTTCCAGATCTGTCTTTAATACTCATATTTAAATAAAATCTGAGATGGTAGGTCAAAGCCCAGGTGCCATTCAGAAATCACTGCTGACATGCCCTTGAACTAGGCAGTGAGTACCCAGAACTGTATCTGCAAAAACACTTAACAGAAGAACTGAGATCCTTTCCTCCACGTCAGGTAGACTCAGTATTCTTGCTTCTCTGCTTCCTTCTTAGCTCTGCATCCTCACAGCCTTTAACCGTCCCTCTTCCCCGGGTCTGTTATTTTTTTCCTAAAGGTTAATCATGTACAGTAACAACCTTAGGTCTACAAGAAACAAAATTACCCATAAACAATGACTTCAGCTCTGCATAAAATAGACAAATGTTAAATCTCTGAACAGAAGAACAGAAATAAGCCCAAATTGAGGGTCACAAGTAATATTCCATTTAGATACTTTCACATTTAAATATTCAAACTCATATTCATTATTTAATAAATCTGAGCCATCTTGAGGAGTAGGTATTGACTGTATTAAAGGGAAACTTGAAAATATATACTGTTTGCTTCAGAGCTTATGATGTAACCAGAAATCCTGCTTATAAGTACAATTCTTTCCTATTATTACTAGATATATCATCTGTGAATCACACAGGAACTTCCAAAGTGTAGGGCATATCAGGACTCCACAAAATACCGAGTAGCCAAAGCGCATTGAAAATGATAAATCTATAAGCAATTGTGAGTTAATTACTGAGAGGTACACCTAACTCACAACGCCATAGGTGAGCAGCTGTGCTGTTCACAGCAGGTCCTTCAATTTCCATTTATAAAGCACCCGTCTATATAGTATGGTCAATGAGTACTGGCACTCACAGATAATGCAGTCTTAAGTTTTTCTCTTCAAGTCTTGGGGAAGGGGTCTTATCGCGTTCTCTAAACTGGAAAAACTGTATGAGAAAAATGCCGCTAAAAATAATTTGTTTTACCAAATTCATGAGAAAAAGATTTCAAATTTTTAAAGCTACCTCCCCTCAACATTCTAACGACCTTCCTTCAAAGCTGCTTATAACTTAGAAATGAAAGGTCACCACTTACGTTTTGACTGTTTGAGGTGGCATATTTGATGTGCTTCTCATGTGATAACCCTAACTTTAAAGTAACTGTTATTTTACACTGTGTTGCTTTCTGTGGTTCAAAACCATTACATGCCATATTGAAATATTTAATCTTCATGTAAAATTTATCATGTAATACAAATGAAAATCATTATTTAATGACTTATGATCTAACCATATGTAATTTCAATATAATTATGTCTATGTCTGTAAAACAAAACTAAAAACTATGTAATCATATATGTAATCATATATTTCTGTTGAAACTGTGAATGTACTAATTTTTTCGTTAATTTTTGTCTACAAGTGGCATTGTATACCATGGTATAGCCAACCTGGGGTGTTAGTTTGTTTGAAGTACAATCCACCAATTATTAGACTATCAACCCCTTGGCTTTGCTTCATGTGATTGCCGAGTTTTCTTCAGTGTTATTTACACCATGGGCCTTGATTTTGTGCTTTATCATTGATTTTAAAAAATCTAAGAGTCTCATGTAGAAACCAAAGCAATCTAGATGCAACCCATTCAATGATCGTGTCTTCTGTAAAGCCATATTGGAGTGAAGACGCCGCTGTAGCATAAGGTTTCATATTTCCAAAGCTGCCACTACCTCTCTTCCTCTTTCCCTAGAAAATGTCAGGCAAAATGAAACCTTAAGTGGGAAATTAGAAGTGATTGTTACAGTAAGTTGCTGTTGTTTTTTTACCCAAGAAGACACCTTCTAATTCACTACTTTGCAAATTTATGCTAGGTTTTCTGAATAACCATTCTTATGTTTTGATGTTATGGAAATTGGCTGATGAGTAAAGTGCAGAAAGACTACACAGAAAGTCATCAGATAAAAACAAAGTGAAAACCATAGAGTGCAGATATTTTTCCTACTTTTAAGTTACATCAAGGTGTTTGGCCAAAGCCATTACAATCTATTTCATTATATTAAAAAATTCCCAGCTCAGTGCCTGGCTGAAAAGTGTTCATTTTCCTTGTTTACCCATCTTCTATCTTTTTCTAATTTGAAATACAAATGTATAGAATTACATGTATATAGCTGAGCAATTTTCTTAAATAATTTTTCTGCTAAAAGATCTATAATTGTGAATTTAAATTTTAATTTCTCCAAATGTCCAAGAAATAATATTCTCCTTATTTTATTTTAGTCATCAAATATATTATGGTATGGGAAAAGTCAGCCATTTTTCAGAAATAATCTTGTTACTGTTTTAAAGACTCATTTCTATGTGTCATTGTTTTGTGATGTCTACTTTTTTCTTTTTTAGCCTTAATGATTATAGAATGATAGTCATCTGATTTGTCTCTTGAACTTTTTATTCTGTAAATCTTGGGTTACTACACATTGTGTTTCCTGTTTTTCATGGATTTATTCATGTATCTCCATCTGTTTTGTGGGGACAACATGGACAGTTAAATCTTTGTCAATGATATGAAGATTATGCTAACTTCTCTCACATCATTCTTACTGCATGCCAAAAACAATGCTTGCCAAACAGAATCAGACATCTCAGAATAATATGGTCATTATGTTTCTATTTGTGTCATTATTGAAAACACCCAGCTCAGTGCCTGGCTCAATAAATGTTTATTTCCCTTGCCTATCCTCCAATTTTTTTATTTGAAATGGGAATGGGCAGATATGTGTGTGACTAAAGCAATTTTCTTGACGATTTAATAATGAATTATCTATAATCAAGAAATTGTTCATGAACCAAACAGATCTTCACATTTGTACTCAACCTGACAAGTGATTACAAAGCAAAATTTCTCTCCTTTAGCTCATCTGTGTCATATAAATTGATTAAAAATAAAGTGGGATGGAATTGGATTAATGGGAATCAAATAAGAGAAGCTCATTTAAATATTGTGAAATAAAAACGGGCCAACCCGTCAAAAACTAAATAGAATTTCTTTGGCCAGTGTGATCCATTATTATTATTAACATCTTTTCTGACAAAATCCATGAGACTGAGCATAAATGAATAATCTTTAGCTTTTAAGGAATCTAGATCTGGAATTACTCACAGTTCATGCTGTGTTACCAAATTGTGAAATGGTGGGGGTGCTTTAAAACCTCTCTGCTCTTCTTAATTCTCTACTGCAGTGTCTTATTGAAGGATAAAATTTTTCTTTCTCATGATGAGTATCAGCCTCTAAAACTTAGCTTCAAGCAAAAAAAAAAAATCATTGGCTTTTCTGGAATCATCTGCCTTTGTAGTTCTGGAGTGTCAGTCACCAACCACAGTGCCATATGACTATTGGTGATCTGGGGGTTTATAACTGACAGTTTTCCAAAATGTTGCATGTGTTTTTCTGAGAGAAAACAGGAATTCGACATTACCACATCTTGCCAGAATCCAATAAAAACGTGAACCCAGTTAGGACTCCTACAACTTACGAACTAAATGTTCTACATTCTAAATGATACAATCTCCTTCTTTGAGGAAAAAAGATGGGAGTGGAGGAGAAATAAGAAATAGGGCTATTGAAAAGCCTCCCGAAATGGACTCTCCTGAATATGGACAAAAAGAAAAGCTCCTCCTGGGTTTAATAACCTTTCCAAATTGTGCGGTGGAATTCTGACCAATTTTTGATGTTGTAAAAGGCATTCAACTTTGGAGTTCTTGACATCTAAAATCGGATTTTAAAAAATATTATTTTTTTATTTTAAGTGTATGAGTGTATTGCCTGCTTGTAAGCGCATCCCTGTCATGCTTACCCGCAGAGGTCTGAAGAGGGCGGTAGAACCTCTGGAACTGGAGTTATGAACAGTTGTTAGCCACCATGTGGGTGCTGGAAATCCAACCAGGTCTTCTGCAAGAGCAACGGTGCTCTTAACTGCTGAGTCATCTCTCCAGACTGTAAAATTGGAATTCTCATACCAATAGCCTCTTCTACCCACACACCACACTCCACAACTCCTGCTGCCCATGCAAATGTTAACCATTCTTCTCTAGTCATGACCAGGTTCACATTAAAACCTGTACTTAAAAACTGACTTGAAGCATTTGAATGCTACCAAATAATTTTTTTTAAGTCTAGAAGATAACAGTCAAATAAAATATCACTTGAATGTCGGTTTTTGAACACTGGTGGAAGAAAAAGGAGCTGGGTAACTTATATAAAAGTATTTATAAATGTGTTTGAAAGAAGTTTGAAATGCCTCAGGAACATTTTAGGGTGGTTTCTGCTTCTTATAAAAATTAGAAGGTAATATTAAATGTTATGTCTAACAGTTTCATTTTATGTGTTCCATACTGATATTGCTGCTGAATTATGTGATTTTATGATACATTTCCTATGCCTTTTTCAGAGCAAATGCTTTGCAATGGTAACAACATTTACTTTAAATTTTAATAAATTGTTTCTTGAGTGATGTTTTCTCTGATACACACATGCACACACACACACACACACACACACACACACACACACAAACACATATATACCATTATGTGAAAATTGAACTTAAATTTTTTCTTTGCTTTAACAAATCTTTTTAGAACTTGTTTGTTTGTTTGTTTTTGCTTTTTGGTTTTTTAGAGGTTTGTTTCGTTATTGCAAGAAATGGGAAAATGGCATATTTTAAGTCTCTCTGGAAATAAAATATTGAGGCCAAAACATTTTATCTTAGGATACTCATCCATGGCATGTTTTTCAGAAATGAAGTTTTGTGCTAATCCTTCAGCACCTTCTCTATTTTTATTTTCCTACTAATTCTAAATCAAAACTGAGTCTTGTTTCCAACTCAGCTGAGCTCCACATCTCTTTCCATGGTCCTCACGTCCCTTGCGTTTATTCATTTGTCAAACTCATCTTGAAAATGCAAATGTGATTGGAAGCATCCAGAAGTTTCTTGGATCTTCTCCTGGGAACAACTAAGAATAATCAAAAGGAGAGTTTCCAAACCTGGGATGCAATTAGATTTTGAAACTGCAAAATCTTAGTGCCAAGAGCATTTTCTTGTGTTAAGAGTCTTCCAACCTGGAATTACCCTACACATTCATGCAAAACTCCACTATGATTTAGTCCTCCTTTTATTAATAAAATTTCAGAAATGCTTGAAATTTTCATAGAAAAAGAAGAAAATACCTTTTATGAACAACAAATTTCATTAATATCAAAAGTTTCCTTCATGTATTCTATACCTTTTTTTGACAAATGAAACATCATGGACACTATAACATATGCTCCTCAAAAACTACAGTCTCTGCCCTGCTTTCCAATGGCAGTTACCATCCTGGAGTTGTATTTATTTCCTGGCTTTTGAAAAATGCATTTTCCTCATATCCACATATCAGTAAATAGCACATATAATTATTCAAACTATATTAAATTTAATTTTCTTAATTTTTTTTGGATTTTTTTTACATTTATGAGATTAATCTTGCTGCTTGAGATAGAATTTTGAGATAATTATAGATAAATTAAGAAATGATAGTATATATCATTGTGCACTTTTATTCTTTCCTTTATCATTGGGATTTTAAAATGCAAGTAGCTTCCATTTATTGATTCTGTCTGCTGTACACAACTGTGTGCATATATGTATATGTGTATATTTACCTATATATGTAGGGATATATATTTATAGGTAAATGTATGTAAATTTACATGTATATCACTATGGAGCTAAGTTCTTTCTATTTTAAATGACTCTTTGATGGGTATTCTTTTGCCATTCTCATTTGGAAGAGTTTCTCCATGATATAAATGTGGAGGTAGATTACAAGGTGATATAAAAAGCATACCTTAGCATTCCCCAAATGCACTCATACTGTCCATGTAGGACGTTTCATTTTTCCCATCTTTATAGTTACCTAGTGGTGTCAGATGTTTCCATTTTTGACAATTTGATGACTACAAAATGAAATATTGTTATTATTTGAATATAACATATATATTATTTGAATATAACACATAACTCATATAATTCATTCATTGCCTGCTTATTTTATATGTCACCTTTTCCATGTCCAGAGTTCTGACAGATTTAATTTGTGTATTTTTTAATTCATCTTATACTTGTCCTGGTGCTCTATTATGATTATTCTGTCTTATGCAAAGTCTGACTATTCAGTAAATTGATTCCCACACCACCATACCCTTCCTGGAAATATTCTGGTTATTCATGGTTTTTCACCATATAAATTTTGAGATGAATGGATCACATTTCCTAAAATTTTGTCCTGGAACTAGGCTATTGTATATTATACTTGTGTATAATTCCAAGAGAAGCTACAAGTTTACAGCATTGTACCCTCCTAATTATGAACATGATTTATTGTTTCATTTATATTAGTCTTCAAAGTATTTATACATGTTATATGGAACTCATTCCTAGGCACCATATAAGTTCTGTTGCTATTGTAACTGACTTTTTAAAAAACGTATCCCCTTCTAAGCAGTGGTTGATGCTAGGTAAAACATCCGATTTTTTAAAACATATTTGTATTGAACGTTACTAGACTATTAGTTCCTATAATTATAGATATTCTTGGATCTTCTATTTTTACAATTGTATCCTCAGAAAATAACAAACTTCATTTCTTCTTTTCCAGCACTGTGCCTCTTATTTCTCTTCCTTAATCTAATAGCATAGTGTTTCCAGTATAGCAGTGAATACAAGTAAAGGGCCTTCTTCCTTGCTCCTGACTTTAAAAAGGAGTGTGGTTAAAAGTTTGCCATTAGGTATACTGCATTGTGTAGTTGTTTACACATACCCTTAGTTGTAGTAATGAAATCCTATCTACTTCTACTTTGATAATTTATATAACCATGTGGTTCTCTCCAGAAAATAATGTATAAATTACTGTAGAAAATTTGTTCAGAGATTATATTTTAGGGCTGAATTACCAGTACATTCTTGAGAAAACTCCACTTGTTCATTATGTATTTCTGCAAATTTTGTTATTTATAATTTGCTAAAAATATTAGTGTTCTTGCGTTTATGAGATTCATTTGTTTTGCTGCTTAGAATTTTCTGTGATGATTATAGATAAATTAAAGTTATGATTATAGAGATCTCTCCTTATAATTCTAAAAAATTTGCTTTATATATTTTTAAGCTATATTGTTAGGTATATATAGATTTAAATATTCAATCCTCCTGACGAGTTTAGGCTTTTCATTGTTTATTTTGATCCCTTTATCTCTAATGGTTCTCTCTGCTGTAAACCTTTTTTTTTTCAGACACTAACATTGTTACTCTCTTTGGGGTGGTGAATCTCTTTCCATTATTTTCAGTTGTTCTATCACCATGTTTTAGGTGTCTTTTTTTTTTTTTTTTGACTGACAAAACTTTTGTTGAGTTTTTGTGCAATACATCTTAATCAAATTTAGACCCTCCCCTCTACCAGATTTTCGGTATTCTGACATATATGTTAAGTCCTATCCAGTCAAGCATTTGTATCCAGATGTCCCTAGGCACAAATTCATCCACTGGAGCCTATCTAGAGTAACTCCCTTAAAGATCTACTCTCCCTCGCCCATAGTACAATAGTCTTTTATCAATAGTTCCTTAGCTAAGGTTGCGTCCTGCTACCCATTTTCCCTGAAGTTTTAGAGAATAAAATACTATAGAGTCTGTGTCTCTGGATAAGACTCCTATACTAAATCTCACTCACCCATGGCTCAGGGAATATTATGGAAGAGGGAGTGGAAAGAGCTTAAGAGCCAGAGTTGGTTTATGAACATAGGTGTATCTTATAAGTGGATATACCTAGATTTTGTTTTCTTCTTTCAATTAAGATTATTTTTCCTTTAGGTGATTAGAAAGTTTTCTTTTCCGCATTCGATGAATTTTTCCTCTATTATTTCTTTTACATACTGAATTTTTTGTTTTTTGAAAATTTCATACATAGCACTGTATTCACCTCCACCCCACCCTATCCCCACTCCAACTCAT